ACATCACCAAGTGCAATGCAAAGCGTCGGATGCGGTGGTGTAAAGCACGCCGCCACTGGACTCTAGAGCAGTGGAGACGCGTTCTCTGGAGTGACGAATCGCGCTTCTCCATCTGGCAATCTGATGGACGGGTCTGGGTTTGGCGGTTGCCAGGAGAACGGTACTTGTCTGACTGCATTGTGCCAAGTGTAAAGTTTGTTGGAGGGGGGATTATGGTGTGGGGTTGTTTTTCAGGAGCTGGGCTTGGCCCCTTAGTTCCAGTGAAAGGAACTCTGAATGCTTCAGCATCCCAAGACATTTTGGACAATTCCATGCTCCCAACTTTGTGGGAACAGTTTGGAGCTGGCCCCTTCCTCTTCCAACATGACTGTGCACCAGTGCACAAAGCAAGGTCCATAAAGACATGGATGACAGAGTCTGGTGTGGATGAACTTGACTGGCCTGCACAGAGTCCTGACCTCAACCCGATAGAACACCTTTGGGATGAATTAGAGCGGAGACTGAGAGCCAGGCCTTCTCGTCCAACATCAGTGTGCAACCTCACAAATGCGCTTCTGGAAGAATGGTCAAAAATTCCCATAAACACACTCCTAAACCTTGTGGACAGCCTTCCCAGAAGAGTTGAAGCTGTTCTAGCTGCAAAGGGTGGACCGACGTCATATTGAACCCTATGGATTAGGAACGGGATGCCACTTAAGCTCATATGTGAGTCAAGGCAGGTGAGCAAATACTTTTGGCAATATAGTGTATCATTCCACCTTTTTAAAAATAACAAATTATGAAATTGAAAATTTCCAATAGTAAGTAGCTTATACGTTGCTAGGCAACCACATCCACTAGAAAGCTCTGCATGTGTTTTTGTGCAACATTATGAGATAAATCTGCCGCATCTGTTTCTTCCGCCAAACCATAAATAATGAGCATCATAACTGTAATGTGTACACCCACACACACACATACTCGCACAAAGAACCTACTCATCTCCCCCATGCTCTGTTTTTAGGGATTACTTCCTCTTCCTGTTACAGGGGTCTTTATATTTAGTCGCCATCTGCGCCCCCTTGCGCTCCCTAAACTTCCGCCTCCACCCCCTAAATAGCGCACATGTTTATGCATGTTTGTGAGGACCACAGTAATAGGAAGCATTCATCTATTAACTCAGCCTGTTTAACACAAAGCAGATAAAGCCAGGTTTATACATCTTGCAGCTGGAACCTTTTTAATGTAATCAATGTATTTCTGACAAGGTTTTTTTTTTTTTTGCTCTCTGGTCTGGTCAAAAAACTGTATTTGGGGAGAGGTTTCATCAATGCTGGAACATCAGCCACCTTTTGCTCCTATTTCAGCAGTTTCAGTTTGTAAAAGCAGTTTGAGGGCTGAACCAAAACAACAAACACAAATGATTGTCTCTCCTGAATAAGAAAAAAAAATCTGTTAGTATTAGTTAAAACTAAGACTATGACAGACACCAGGATAAACCTCACAGTTGCTGTAACATTCTAATGCTCTGAGGAGCATTAAACTGATTATAATCTAAATTATACAGTTTGTAATATATGAACACTGAAATGTTCATGTTCATGTTACCTAGTTGTGGGTGGGTTAGGAGTTCTAGTGAAATGACTACCTCAGTTACACATGGGAATTATAACCAGTATCAATGGAATCAATTCCTCACCACATCAAATCTTCATTATTCCTCATGTATGATGCTGAACGTGTTGTTGTTCCAACAGCTGGTTCTAATCTGGACCTTCCCTCAGGTTTGACTCATTTCACTCACCTTTAAGTTCACTGGCTCTACTATTGATAGTGAAACTAATGTAATCAGTTATAGGTACACTTGCTCTGTAAATGATAAACTGCCTGTACTTATACGTTTTGTTTTTATATCAGAAGACATGACTAAAGCACTTTACACTACATTAAGTCATTCACCTATTCACACATACAGTACATTGATGGTTGGGAGCTACATTATAGCTGACAGAAGAAAGGCCGTACACTGGCGCCACCAGGCCCTCTGACCAAAATCAGTAGGCAATGTGGGTGAAATGTCTTGCCCAAGGACACAATGACACTGAAAGCCGGAGGCAGGGGTTGAATCGACAACCCTTCAGCCAACACCACTGTCGTCGCTCCGATGAATAAATCAGCAAATCTTAATGCATAGTTTTGATTTTGGAAAAAAAATCAGTCTAATTTCCATGGCTTCTCTGCAAATGTCCAAATTTTGAAAAAAAAAGCAATTTTTGCCTCCGTTGATGTCATTTACTATTTACTGGAAAAAATAAAAAAACTCTAGATAAGTAATTTTTTCTTTAAAAAAGTGCATTTCTTCTTGGACTGAGGAGGAATGAGAGACATTTTGCCAATAGAAAAAGACAATTTAAACTTAAAAAAGGAAAACACAATTGCATTGTCTTATTTCAAGTGTATATTATCTAATTATCTTATTTTAAGAGTAAAAATACTCATTCCATTGGCAAACTATCTCGATTGCCTACTCAAATTAAGACTCATCACACTTAATTCAAGACATTTTTTTACTTATTTCTAGATCGTTTTTCCAGTTTTTGATGTATTTTTTTTATGTTATGATGTTATACACAGTTATGTACCACATAAAATCCAGTCAGCAATCTTTTTGTGATTTCTACTAATCTTTGAAGATCTCTTTAAATATCTTAACAGTTTATTAGGAAAATAATAAAAAAAAAATTTAATGACCTGTTATGAGTTAAAGACTAGCCTAAGCTAGGCTGAAACCTAAAACTGAACTGAAACTGGTTAACATCCTCAGTCAAACAATAAGACTAGTCCTCTAGTCCTACCAACACTACAAAACACAAACACTCACACATCTCAATTTTAAAGCATTCAGAAAATCTGTCAGTTTGAACCTGAGCCACCCACACCATACTCTCTTCTCTAAAACCAGTCCCTTTAACATTGATTAGATAATTATCTAATCTTGCTCTAATATAAAAGCCGACAAAAAGACGCCTCTCACATTGTGAGGACATGCTCTTAGTCTCAGCATGTGTGTTATCTACCCAGAGCAGTTTTTTTTCTTTGGACATAAATGTCATCAGTTGTTTCTCAGCACACGCTGCCGCCCACCAACACAGGACCAGCCATCTGGAGGATTGTTTTTTGGTCTCAGTTAGTCCAGCAAAACTAAAACTCAAAGGTTTGGTAGGACCTGAAGACACAACGTGACAGAAGCAGGTCTGCAGCTACTCTCGAAAGGTCAGTAGGACTCTAATGAGTAGGGAAACTAAATATATCCTTAGAGCATCTTGCTAATAGAACATATCCAACTCCGACTGACAGAAGAACTCTCAAAACATCCCTTTATCTGAAGAGATTGCCTGTATTCTGCTCAAACTGCTCACAATACGAGAATCATATTCCTAGATGCTTAGTTAAACATCTTCTCACAAAAGGTTCAGTGACACACCAGCATCATGGTGTTTTCAGTGGGAGGATTGTGTTACCAAACGAGATTCTTATGTAACACACTGACCTCAAATTCATCTGTAAATATAACAAATGAGTTGAGTGTGTAGTACCAGAGTAGAGCTGATGAGGCCGGGGTTTGAACCCACATCCCGTGTAAATCCTGTGCTATTTCTCCAGAGTGAAAGGAGATCAAAATCAGATCAGATCAGCTAAAGCTATGCTCAAATATGGAGTTCAATGTGCAACAGCAAACAGTTTAATAGAAATCTACCAGTAAAGAGTAAGTTTAAATTAGATTAAGTATAATCTTAAAAAAATAACAATAATTCAAAAATCATATACTGTATATTTGTGGGATTGTATTGTCTGGATTGTAAAAAAAACGTACTATCTGATATTTTAATTTTTGAAAAAAGCTATAAATATGCTAACCTTCAAAAACTCCTAAAGTGTATTGTTGGTTGATCTGACTGTAGATGTAACTTAGTGAGGAAAACTTTATATCATTCATAATACACAAGATTAAACAAATATCTTCTGATCATTGTCGAATTAAAGTAAACATTCCCAAATTGCATTTCTAATTGAATTTAACAAAAGTCAGGCCACTTTATTTTTTTAGGGGTTTTCATTAAAGGAAAATTCCGGTTTTTAACACTTTTAGCCCATTTTCTGTAGTGTCCAGGATGAAATCGAATGATCGACACCAAAATTTTGAGGATTGGTCCTGTCTCTGCTATTTGGCTCATGCAGAATCCCCCCCTGGCTGCTTCAGAATGGCTTCCATAGTGCATGTCCGATAATGTCCTTAAAACAACCTTAAACGTTCTTTTTTTTAAATATGCTACTCACCGGGCCGTCAGCGCTGTTCAATGACGTTCCAAAAAAAGTTTCGTGAAGAAAAACCGTTCCTGTCTTGTTTTATTTAGCATTTTGGATTTATTGTAATCCAAAGGGGGGCCCAGAAGAAAATCTTTGGGAACCACTGGGTTATGCAAAGTATAACTAGCCTTTAAGTCCCCTATTAGTCTCCCTGCCTGCATTCCTGATTATTTCACAAAGATTCAATAAAATATTTGGGAATCTTAGGTTGTCACAAGTCCTCACTTTCCATTGCCAGGGATCATCTAGTAAGAGTAACTGGTAAAATACTAATTAAGTATTAACTCGTTTTATTTGCTATTTAAAATTATGTAAAAAGACAGAGAAAAATGTAAAGTAATGTGTGACTACTAGAATTTTGATGACTTTAAATTTGTGGTTATAACAAAGGAATGGTGTATCTTGAAAAATAAGAGATCCAGAAAGAAGAGACACTTTATCAAGCCTATTTTCTTTAAAACATAAAACTTGTTAAACTGGTATTTCCAGTAACAATAAATAATACGATCTGTTCATAAAACCCCTTTCCCTACGCTCCATTTGAGGAGAGACATGAAAAGGGAAAATAATCTGGTCTATAACAAATTCCAGAGGAATCTTTAGGAGAAGCTTCCATTTCAGGACCAGTTCCATGCCCGTATTTACGCTCTCACCTTCCATGACAAATACCAGTGAGCCCACATCTCCTTCCTTTATGATACAGGAATCCTTCCCATAATCCACTGGGTACATGCAGTCCACTATCTCCTGGATCTGAGAGATTTCCAGGTTTTTCATGAAGTCATTGTCCAAGATGGCTTCCTTTATTAGCTCCTTTGACCTAAAAAGATGAGGAGAGAAGGGAGTTAATACAAAACACCTACAAAGACATGTCAGGGTAAAATAATTTTATCAACATTTAAAATTTTACTGAAAAGCTATCTGCTTTACCAAACAAGCCTGCAACTATAGCATGCTCCCTAAAATTAAACATGGTAATTTAGTATAGTCATTTTTGAGCTTTTAAAAAATGTAAACTAATTTAAAATTTTAGATAAAATGGAACACATTTTGCATTTAGTCATAAAATGTTACTTAGTCCTGTACAACACTGAAAACGTTTTTCTGTTTCAGTGATCCTGTTGAAAATCAATCCAGATTCACACAGAAATGCCTTCTTTCTGCGTTTAATAAACTCTCCTGTCTGCAGTTATTTTCATTCTTGTATTTGACAGTATGATCATCTGAGGCAGGAAGGCAGCAGACAGCCTCAGCTCTGTCTTTTATCAAATAACTGATGTTATTTTCTGCAGGTTTGATCATCTGTCGTCTCTGAGCTTGTAAAGACTGAAGCTGTGCATCTGATCAATGGCAGCCGGGTGGTGTAGAACAGACAGCCGATTCATTTAAAACATCCTCAAGCTTGGATTGATCTTGGAAACAGTGCTGTGCCTCTGGGCAAAGGAGGAATTATTGAGACCAAACTGATGAGAATCTAACAGTCTGTGAGGAAATGTTCGGATTTCTGTAGCTTGGGATAAAAATCCCTGATAAGAAACTGGTGTCAGTGAAAAGACATCAAACTTAATCTGTTGTTTACATACAGGTTCAAATTATTAGCAGAATGGATGTCTTCAACATGCTGATGTTTTTTGTTAAATGAAAAAAAATTATAATTCTGTCAAAATGTTTGCCTGTCAAATGTTTGGTTTGTTGGGTCGACCCGTAAGAGAGGACTGAAACACAGCCAGAATCTCTGTCGTAACAGCTATAAAAGCTCTTCTTTCAAAATAAATTTATTCCCTTTGCATGCAACTCTTCACTGGCACATGCACATCTGGATCTTAACAATGAAAAAACTGCATCTTTTAAAAAATGGGGAATCAAGCACAAGTATGCACTATACCCAAACATAAGACCCACTGCAACAAGCTCCCTGAGCGCTCATAGAAACAATTCTCAAGAATTTCACGAATTTGAAAACAATGAACGAGTAACTTTTTTAAATTCAACTTTTAATTAGCCAGGATAGTTCCATGGAGAATAAACCTTGTTTTTCAATGGAGTCTTGGCCAAAAGGCAAAAAACATATAACTCACAAAATGCCATAGTTAAAAGAAAAGCAACAAATTATGAAAAACATTATTATGTTTTTAAATCACCCTCTAGAACTTTTAGCTTAGAAGTAAAAACACTCAGTGAGATAAGTTCAGTTAATTTAGAAGTTTTCTGAATTCAGTCCAAACAAAGGGACAGAAATACGCAGTATATTTTATACGAGGCATACGAGTCAATATTTTGCAGTGTAAAAGCAGAGCAGATATAGGCTGGAGGCAGCAGAAGTAATGCTTTACAAATAAGGTGCAGTAAGAATCCGGGACGAATGAAACTGATGAAGATTTAGCTATGTTGGTGGAGGAGGGGCTGGAGGTGGGTTGAAACAGGGTTATCTGAATGAAGTCAGACACAGCGCCACCACCGCCTGCGCACTAGGTAGCAGATGAGTTGCGGATCAGAGGCCTTTTAAGATGAACTATGGATGCTGACTGCCTTTCGTGGAAGCGTGGTTCAAAGCTCATTAGCTGTGGCTGATGGCGAATAATCAGTTTATTCAGTCGAACTTCCTTCTAGGTTCCATTGTGATGACAATAACCTTTTTATTTATTTTTTTATTTTTTCAATGTTTTTGACAGGTAGAGTTTCTTTATTGTTGCTGTATGGGCTTGTTGCATTATAAATGGCTTGTTGCATTTAATCAATGTTTTACCTGTGTCATCATATTTTACTAACTAGTAATACATTTACCCCTAGGCTAGAGTCAACATAAACTTTCTAAACTGTGTCTTTGATATCTAGCAGCAGCTAATGTTAAAAATCTGCTATTGCTTAAATTGAGGCTACAACTAGTTTATTTCACAGCTCAATCTGTCAATGCTCTGAGTGACTGTTGCTTTCTGCCTGGACTCATAATGTACTTTGGTACTGAAAGGTTCAGTTGGGATTTGAAGGGTTTGCTAAAAAGTTTACGGATGCTATTTCTTTGTTGTTAACCAAGTCAATAGTTCAGCACATTTTTTGACTCGCCATGTGTGCATCACTGCAAAACAATCTAAAAATGAGAAATTTTTAAACATATAAACGATTAATTAGAGTAGGTTAATAAGATAACCTGCCATTGGAATGAATTATGTTTTTCTCCTTATAAGATAAGTATATATAATGCGTAAAGTAAGAGCCTGCAATTTTTTTCTTATTCTGAATGTACATTTTCTTAGTCCATTGGCAGAGAATCTCAGTTACCTGCTCAATTCAAGAAAAATTTGATATTTTTTAAGACAAAATGAATAACTTAGATTTAAACTTGCTGCCAATATTAAAAGAGGTTTTCAGCCACCATTTTAGCAGTCTATCCGTACAATAAATCGGTCGCAATGACAGAAAGTTAACACAACATGAGAAATTGTTCGCAATTTTATAAATTTATGATCAAGCCCACACTTTCTGAAATATGGTTTCATTAAAATATTATTTTGCAGTATTTTACCTTATGCCTTGTGTAGCTGCCATCAAAGTCAGAATAAATGGATAAATAATAGATTAATAAATATTTAGGTTAAAAATATAGAGTTGAAGAACAAGTGAACCGCAGTTTCCGAAGACAATTTATTGGAGAACAAATACTGTCAACTTTAATTTTCATTATAAGAGGCTATGTGTGAAATGTGATCAGTCACATTGGAGTAAATGTTGTGTGAGGCAATTTGTTGTCTGTATTTTATTTTGGCTTGAACAGTAACGTAAATATCGCTGTGATTTCATTCTGTATATTGTTCAAGATGTTTGTTTAAATTGTTAAAATTTGAATAAATATATTTTGGGGAAAAAAATATAGAGTTCATAAATAAATACATTTCTAGTGTATATCATGTATATTGTTTGTTTGATATGGGGGAACGAGTCTTAATTAAGGGGGGAACCAAAAGGTTACTTTTGAGGGTCGATACCTGTGGATCAGGCAGACACCTCGCTGATTCCTCTGGCTAAGCCACCTGTTGGGATCCAGAGGTTTGCCCTCTAGAGGGCGACGTGGATCCCTTTCTGTGGGCTTCTGTTACTGTTGGGATCCAGGGGTTTGCCCTCCAGAGGGCGACGTGGATCCCTTTCTGTGGGCTTCTGTTACTGTTGGGATCCAGGGGTTTGCCCTCCAGAGGGCGACGTGGATCCCTTTCTGTGGGCTTCTGTTACTGTTGGGATCCAGAGGTTTGCCCTCCAGTGGGCGATGTGGATCCCTTGTTGTGGGCTTCTGTTTATCTGTTGGGATCCGGAGGCTTGCCCACCAGAGGGCGCCGTGGATCCTTTCCTGGGAGCTGGTGCTCAGCGCTCACAGCTGATCCCCATCAGCTCATGATTAAGCTCTCCCTTCTTAAGCTGGAGGAGAGCTCCACTCTGAGCCGGATTGTTGAACTGAACTGACCTTGGTCGTGGTTAGCAAGCCTGAGCCACCCTGCCTGCCTGAACCTGTAAACCCGTAAGCCTGAATCTGTGAACCTGTAAACCTGAACCTAACCTGCCTTGTCCTCTCTGCCTCCAGGGCAGAACCCTGTCTGCATCCAATAAACAATTGGACTTTTATCCTGCCTGTGTGTCTGTGAGTTCTGCATCTGGGCCAGTAATCCTGCCTGATCATGACAACACCAGCAATAAGAAAATTGGATAAAGTGCATAGTGCCATAAAGGACTGAAGATTCTAATTTTCTCTCAAGGGAAAGCGTCCAATGAGGTATAATTTTGCTTAATTTACTGTTTACTTTATTTGACCGTTAAGATGTAACGCGGAGAATTTCTGTTGAGTCATATATTGTATGGTCGCGTTTTTTCTTTGATGTATTTACGGAGAAATAATTAGTTTTGTTTGCTTTTCTGTATATGTTTTAACAGTTCTCATGGCACACTATCATAATTATTGTGTGATTAAAGCCAGTAACTAAAAGAACGACTTGGTTTCGGGATTTCGACTTGAGAGGGAATTATACCTTACATTGTGAAAAAAGTCATTTGAAAACATCAAGACTGTTTTTCCTGGAAAGTTCCAAAACTAACCATACTACTTCATCTACTCTTCTATATAACGACACCTCACTCAACTACAGTTGTTAATGATTGCCTTTACAACTAATCAACAGTTATTCATAGCCAAATCAAACATACGGTTGCACAAGAGGTGTTTAATAATTAGCTGTGATAATAGTGGCGAATGGAGTAAAATGTGTCCTTTACGTTTTGATAGTCCAAAGTGCACACAGATATGAGCCATAAACAGAACCATCATGCCCATGCACAGCTGTTTAAGGCTTGATATGATGCAGCATTCAGCAACATTATAACGAGTTATTTCTGCTAAGTCTTGAGTTTAATGAGGATGTTGGATTATCCAAATTATGTATCACTGTTAAAACCAAATAAAAATTCTCAGATTCAAATATTCAGCAAACACCAATAGAGTAAATTAGGTGAACCGCTTAAACACCACAGACAAACCGGTGGGTTCAGCTTAGGTGTTTAAATTCCACCTCAAAACAGTGTAGAACAGTAACATGTTTAAAAAAAAAAAAAAAATGTACTCACTATAATGTTTTGCTTCTAAAACAAGTCACCCAATATGTTTGTCAAAAGTATTAATTGTTTTAAAGCAACCTACAGCAAACACATCTGTGCACATTTAAAGGTCTTTTACACATTGCAGACTCAGTTAAGCAAACTCTACAAACGAGACCAAGCTTTTAACTAAAAAACATTTTATTTGATATCGAACAAAACTAAAGAAATTCCCATTTCGCATGA